AGATACAAGTCCATCTTGCCACGCGCTGGATTTTAGAGGCTCTGGCAAACGCAGCCCGAGCATCCATTAACTAACACAGTATGGTTTCCCAATGTGGGGGCTTTCGTTCCCTCCAGCCAAGGATGCTGCTGCGTCTCCATCCTCCCCAAATGGAGCTTGTTTCAAAGGAAAAATTAAAGTGGGAATGCAGTTTGGTGGTGCTAACATCGAGCCATCATGCCCCTTTCATGCCAGGCAACGCCGTCACCTTCTCATAAAAAGAACAGCAACCAGCTGATGTGAAACACTAGCTGGTGTGACTGGCTAGGTCTCCCGGGAAAAAAAATAAAAAGCCAAATACTTGAAAATCCCTGAGCTGAAGCATCACCAACTCCAGAAGCTCTTTTTACCAACCCAGGAATCTAACATTGGAGGTTAACACAGATTAAGCTTAAAAAAAAATCCTTGTTCCCCAGGCCCAGCTGAGTTCCATTCTGCGTTGGATTGAATTCCTTTGGGCAGAGGGCAGGAGTAGAAAGAGCTCCAACTTCAGATTCAAATCGATTAAGATCTGAAGCCTGGATTTTACAGCTATGGGACACTCGGCAAGTCACTTAACCAAGGGAGCCTCAGTTTCTGCATCTGAATAAGGAGGATGAGAAACACTGCAGGGCTGCTGTGTGGGTGGGAGAGAAAGCACGTGAGGTTCCCGCTGGAGCGCCTGAACGCCCACCGTTCCATACATGGCACGTCGCTCTGCTCAAACAACAGCTTCTTGACTGCAGGGATAGTCTCTGACACTTCGCTTGTGTCCCGCCCAAGCACCGGGCACAGGCTGGACACAGAGTAAGTCCTCGCAGAATTCCTGCCCTGGATAGAAAAGACGGGGGAGAAAACCATTCCTGCTAGATGAAAACGCTGGTTTGTTCACTGCCTTGGTCTCTTCACTTGCCAAGCATCAGATTTCCACAGTACCGTTCAACATCCTCGTGCTGAAGGCTCAAAGCAGAGCCAGCTGAAGGACATGGTGCATTTCAGAAGGGGAACCGATTTGGCCAAAGGACTCTGGAGTT